CACGACGTAGCCATGGTGGGGTCCACTTGTTTTAATAATAGTTTGGACCATTTCTCGATTTATGCGTGTCATCCTTGCACCGGGGCCATGCTAATTTTCTCTGTATCGTTCCAATTTTAACGGATGTCCTGAAGGACGGGGTACTGCTTTTCTTTTGTTTTTGTTTTCTGAACTGTCTCCATCTCCAAGCACAGGAAAGGAAGGGTTGGATGGATCTGGTCGCATTGTGAACCACAGTGTTGCTGTAGGACTAGGTAATTTTTATGTTTATTATTATTTTTCTTTGGTGAAAGGGGTTGCCCCTACGTTACTGAGTTTTCATGTGATTTCGTCGGAGTTCGAACTCATTACCTGTTCACCAACATTTTGATGCGTTTTCACCATTCAGCCACCTGGGCAAGGTACGCATCAACATGCATTCTAGAAGGGGGCAAGAGCGCAAATTAGGGGGAAGTGCAGGGGGGTAGTCTGACAAAAACTGTGGGGCTGCTGCCGGGTTACACCCCTATTTTCTTCTCTCAGATATTGTGTCGACCTCACATTATCTACCTACCTACCCCACATCATCTGCGCACATGTCTAGCATGGAGATCTCCCTTATCTATGCGCATTCACTGGCCTAACCTCAAACCCGACAAGCAAGGATCTAGCCTTAACCTGGGCCAACACCAGGCAACCTACTATCCCGGTGCACAACTCACTTTGGTAGGATCGAAACAGACTAGCATTACTTATCTACATATCCATAGCGTAGCTCACCTAGGGTTATGGGTCTCCGGATGGATCCCAGCCACCTACCTTTCTACTAGCCTAGGGTAAGCCCATCCTTTCCACTAGCCTTGGTTGAGCCTATCCCCTCAGGGTTGGACCTAATCCCTCCGGGTTGGACCTATCCCTTCGGGGTTGAACCTATCCCGTAGCAATGTATGGAAGGTATGCACCCCTTACCGCGCAACCAACTAGGGGGGCCGTTCCATCTATTTCAGGTGGTTATTTTTCGCTTGTTTGAAGCCGGGCTGCTTGCTTTTTCCTTGCCCCCCTCCCCCTCCCCCTCCCCCCCTTTGTTGCTGATATCCTATATTGGGATCCAGGGAGGGTCGAAGGGTCCTGTAAGGATTAGGTGAGGGCCTTGAGGGGCTTATTTTTGAACAGGCCTGTGCATGTGAGGAGGGTGCTTGTAATTTTTGCTTCAATCCCCATCCCCTCCCACTCCTCTTCTAGATCTCGATTGATAACATGTATGTTTGGCTGTTCCCCCCCTGCCAACCCACTTCCTGCTTTTTCTTTTGTGTGTGTTGCTGTACACAGGTCTTCTCTTATATCGAGAGCCAGCAAGAAGTTCTGGGGAAGGTGAGGGAAAGCGGAGCTTGATAGCCACTTATTATTATTATTATTTTTCTTTTGAAAACATGCATGGTCTTGGACATCTTGCCTCGCTTGCCTGTCCATTTCCTTTCTCGATGGTTGAATTCTTTTTCTCCCCCCCCCCCCCCCCCCC